GGGTTCCTTGCAATCTCATTGATTCGTTCAATGTGGCTGACAATTGTCTTGATGTAAATAGCCATTTGCTTGTAGTGGTGGTCAGTTTCTTCTTGTAGTGTTCCCATAAGTTCCTCCATATTCTGCATGTTTGTTTTTGCCTCTTCATATCTGTCTTTCATCTCTTCGTTTGTAACATGTTTTTTTTCTTGTCTGCTTTTGATTGTTTTTGCCTTCCTTCTTGTGGTCATTCTTGCTGCAAGGACAAAAGTCACAAGCTTTATTTCCACTGGGACAACTACAGAATGCAGACTTAAAAGTAGTGCAAGGGTATACACACGTCTGCTCACATGCGGGGCAGTTATGGGCATGAGTGAAACGCCCATTGATGGGAAATCTCTCTTTCACAGTGATTGTTTCTTCACCTTCAAATTCCTCATTGCATCTCATGGCAGTATAGTATTCTTCATACAGCTTTCGCTTGTTCCTACATTGCAATAGGGCCTTCACTTTATTGTCTATGTGCATTTTCAACATCAGTAATGATCTCTCAAGATTCATCTTCTCTTTAATGGCTTCTTTACACAGCCTCAGACTGCATGGTTTAGCGACCAACATGTCTTCGAAAAATTCTTCATACTTGCCAGTAAGAATTTCCCATTGCATTTGGCTAAGTCTTGCTTTTTTTCCTTGGTTACTACAATACAGAACGCCATTGTCAAAGGTGTATAGTTTATCTGCTTTGATATTTATATCCTCTAAGACTTTGCTGACTGCTGGTGTATCATCGTCAGTGTGTGTTGCCAGAATCTTTGTGATTTTAATAGTGTCGTTTCCAAACAGTGACTCGAACTCCATGACAATTTCCTTTAAGTAAGCATGAGACCTATTGATTGTTCCATTGACAACAAAACCGAGGCAATGGAGTTCACTGATATCAAATGTCTCGTCTGTTAAGAAAATTTCCATTTGTTTCTTTATCCTTTGCTGCTGTTCCCTCCCCCTTGTGTCCCCTAGCCCTGGAGTGTCAATGATTAAGTAGTTGCAATCAACTGCCATCCCAGGTTGCTGATAGATGAGATAACCAGTCACAAACTCTGTCTGGCTTTCAGTCTTGCTTTTCGGCATGGTGCCTATTTCGTCCTTTACGGTGTATCTAGAATTGTCCTCAAATTTGACTTTCATAATGTAGTTTATCATCGCATTTATCAGACAGGTCTTACCGGCTCCTGTTTGGCCAATCAGCAGGAAGGCTTTGGTTGGTTTCGTATTCTCCTTGCCAATGGCGAGTATTTGGATTTGGTTCCTTTCGTCAAGTTTCTTCAGTTGTGTTACTGGTTGATTGAGTTGCAGTCCATATTCATTGGTCATAAAATGCCGATATGCCAACATGACACCATCCTTAGGATCAGCCATCTTGCTGGGTGCCTGCAAAAAAGTAGAAAAGATAAGAATAAATATATCACAACCACACACACATATATATACCTGTTACACATAAATAGGTATATGAATATAAACTGTACATAAATTGCATACATATAAACAAATGCATATCTATATAAATATAAATGCACACACACACACACACACACACACACATAGCGGTAGAGTAAAACGGCCGTAATTATGTTTATTACTAAACGTTTCGAAGGTTACTCATATCTCCATCGTCAGTGCTGTAATAATGAACCAAAGTAATATGCATTATATAAGAGAAAAAAAAGGAAAGAAAAAAGTGGTTCTCTATATCAACAACGGTGTATAAGAGATAATTCGAACTTTCATAAGAAAATAAGAATAGTAATAAAAAACAAACTGTGAACAAACACATAATAAGAATATATAGTGGAAAAAACATGATTAAAGACATTACAAAACTAACCGATAAATGATAAAATAAGACCTTTCTATGTAAAAAAATCTCAAATCAACCTACTGTATCAACCGTTAAAAAGGATCATAGATACGTAAAACTACCATTTATTGGGGGAATTAAGCTTAGAAATCAGAAAAACAATTGAAAATACTTTTACAGTTAAAACAGTTACCCTCAAATAAAATTATTTTTTTGTCTTCAGCAACTGTAACACTATTGCAAACTTTTAAAACAGCCAACGAGATGCCACTATGATTTGTGTTTCAATGTTGCATATCTATTTAGCTGTCCTGACTGCCAAGTCAGGTACAGCTACTCAGAAAACGTTTGTTAAAAATAAAGCTAAACGTTCTGACCACAACGATACTTTTGAAATACAGTTGTTAACGCTAGGAAACTGCTGGTACTCCTGATTTCCCCCTCCCCTACTTTTGGGTCTGAGTGGCATATTACAAATAAACAGGCTATCAATTCGCAGGTAATTTGTTTTAATGCTTTGTCACTAATCAATTAGCTTTCTTATACATTTTTTTTCTAAATGTTAAGTCAATCGTCATGATACAGGAGAAGACAAGTGGCATAGCCAGACGATTGATATGACAGGTCCTACTCATAAGCATTACTGCCATTATATTACTTATTGACTAATGACAAAGTCCATGAAGATCAAAACAAGGAAAAAAAAAATACTGGTAATACAGTCAAGTTTAATATTTCCACCCCCTGCTGCCAAAATACAGTTAATCAAAGCGCCAAGGCATAGGTGCCACTAACTCGGCTGTTAAGGCATAGCCTTCTTCTCACCGTAGGCATTCCCATGTTTGCAAGGCATTATTTACGACTGCCACACGATTGTGAGTGTGGTCTTGCCGCATGCATTTTGACATGGCCGCCCACACGTTGTCAACTGGGTTTAGATACCTTGACAACACGGTCTGGAAACACCGTAGCCCTAAATGTTGGTAGGAAAACTCAAGGATTTCAACACCGCTCGTATGCATCCACCCAAACTACACTGCGGTGATTCGGCCATTCCTGCTCGCGATCTGTCTCTCACAGACACACATACACACAGACAGACTGGCAGACACACACTTATTATAGAGTAATGAAGTGTGGTAAGAAGAGATGGATATTCATTTAAAGCAATGATCATGAGTATATGCATATGCATTTGTAAGTATAAAGATACATATCTGACAAACGTGTAATGTAGAATATAGTAATATGATATAGATATAGCTGGGTTACATATATACACACGCAGATATATGTGTATGTATATTACGTATATATACATACATACATACATACATACATACATACACACGCATATACACTATACATACACACATATAGAAGTATATATGTATATATGTATGTGTATGGTTATACATATGCATATATATATGTATATATATGAGTATATGTATATACATACGTATACATACATATATATGTATATATACACATATGTATATAAATATGTATAAATTGTCAACAATATGTAGCAAGACCGGATGGTACTCTTCACACCTCCGTCCAAGCAGCTGTCCTTCTCCTTGGGCAGGACGCAGACGTCGCCCGGCTTTCTCTCTTCGCACAGGAATAAACATCCGCCCTCCTAGTAAACCGCCGAACAAAAGGGCATGTGCGTAAGACGAAGGAGAGAGGCACAGCAGACAGACCAAGCCACACTGGGTCCAGCTCCACCACCTCGTCCACCTCCCGGGGACACGGGGGTCTCTTGGGGGTCTCATATCTATCTTCAACTATAAACCAGCAAGCTAAGACCCATTTCATTTGACCGCCCCATGACCTACGATTACATCTGGTGGCTTTCGGTGGTCACTCGTTACCTACATACATATATACACACATATATATACATAAATACATATAATTGTAATTGCGTTTACATACATACACACATAATATATATAAATGTGTATATATATGTATATATATACATATACATATATACAATCAAACCTACAGCCCATTGGTGGTGATTGTGTGACGGCGGTCCAGCGAGTCAGTGTTGCCAGGTATTTTTTGTCTTTCCCGCCCAAATCTAATTCTGAAAACAGCCCAAAATACGCCCAACTCCAACTGGAAATAGCCCAAAATTAAATGTTATTCCTACGCTGTTAGTAACTGTTGAATTCTTGAGTTCAAGTCGAATTCCCATTCAGTGTTGCAAGACAATGCGTCATACGAAAGCCAAACCGAGGTCAGAAAACCGAAGTCACGTGACCTACAACTAAAATCAGGAAGCATCGTATTTATTAAAAGATTAGTGAAGCTCATTTATTAAGATTATTTTAATTGGTCTTGTGGAAACTAATGTCATTCAGGTTAATTCAAACAAATGCTAATTGATATTAAATGCTCAACAACAGATAGTATTTGGCAAACTATTATTTTCTCAATAATCCAGTCTACTGAAAGAAATCATTGACAAATAGATACTTATAAACTGTTCTTTTATAATGTTAAAACTCCTCTGTAATACTATCTTCCTCATTAGAAGTGGAAGCATAAATTCCATTGTTGAATTTGTTAAGCATAGTCTTGGTCGGCACAAATTCATTGCAGCAAATGCTATTACGTGTCATAATACTACATATATGTAAAAGGGCCTCCAGCATTAGCTACTGCATCTTGTTACGCAATTTGGACTTAAGGACATTCATTTGAGAAAATGTTCTACTGATGCGTTGCTGAATGGTAAGGCTAACAAGCTCAGAATAAACATGCTGAGTTCGGCAAAGTCGTTCTCCCCTGATGCGTCCTTGTGATAAGCAATGTTTATCCAAAATCCTTCTGTATCTTTGTCATCAGCGTGTGGCCATTGCATCACACTCATACGATTCCATTGCTCCTCTAAAATGGCTACATTTCCATCATATAGTGAAAGGAAGGACAAGTCTTGCAATTTTAGTTTTGCTTGGCCTAGAACAATTGATGGAGACAAACTACTGAGCGACTGAAGTTGTTCATATTTGTTGGCAGCCTCTTCCTCACCTCTCTTGGCAGCTCCATTAATTAGTTTCTGCACCGTTCCTTCACCCGATTCACTATTTCTCTGTCTACGGTAGCCTCTTCAACAAATAAAATGAAATTCGTGCCAAAATATATGGCCCTAAATAGCAAATGGTTTTCTGGATTGTCAATGCCATACTCCATGGTTGATAACCAGGTCATAAAAGTAGTAGGGCGAACTACACGCAAAAGGATTGAGCGATAGTGTCACAATTTCATCGGTGAGTTTTATGGGAGAACACTTGTCAGCCGGTTAACCCTGTTCAATTCTATGGGCACTGGCTCTAGAAAAATCAAATATAATTTATTTTCTGCATCAGAATACATCTGATACAGCAGATCTGCAGTGTAGTTTCTCTCTTCATCTCTTGCCACTTGAAAGTGCAATTTGAGCTCTTCATACTGCTGCAGCAGTCGCTGCACACATGGCGCTATTGAAAGCCATCGTGTATTAGAGAGCTTCAAGGTTTTCAGGGGTTCATCACCAACATTGATAGTGGAATACAAAGATTTGTATTTTTGTTGTCGCAAAGTGCTGTGACAAAACCAAGTATAAGTTTCAGAAACCATAAACTCTATGTTTCGTGGCAAAGCTTTCAAAGCATATCATGAGCACAGATGGATTGAGTGGCAAATACATTTTATGTGAACTATGTTCACTTCACGAAACCTGGTAATTATGGAGTTATTTTGCCCACACATAACACTACATCCATCTGCAGCTAGCCCAATGCAATTGGCAAGGTCAAGATTGCAAGAACGGAGAAAGGTAGCCATATTGTTAAAAATTCCTTCTGCACTGCCAGAATCAAGTGATATCATGCCAAGAAACCCTGTCAGCAAAGCTGTTTCTCTGCTCTTATATCGGTACTTTGATCAATAATCAGAGAGTATGGCATGCCTTGAATATTCATGAATAAATCATGTATCACGGGGCACAAAACATTCTTGATGAGTGCAGAACATTTTGTTCTGTGGATAGATATGTCTCTTCCAGATACATCTTTGACAATCTCGCCAAGATGATCGATTGTCAAAATGCTTGAGTGGCAAGCAACACTTTAATGAGTAAGAATTTGTTCAAAATAACAGGTACTCGTACTGTGGGTATCAAATTTCCTGGAAATTATACACTAACAACGGGACAATGGCATTACAACAACTCCAATGACGATTAATGTTAGATCACGCAATGGCTTTAATTTTTGTCTAATTAAGCTATTGTTTAACAAGCGAATACGCTTGTTAATCCAGTGAGGCGCTACATCGAATATAACGATCGAAATAATTTTTAATTAATGCACTGGCAGCGTACTTAGCAGGTATCCTAAAAGCACATCCTGCCAACAGTGCACAGAATACATGACACAATCAATCCCACAGTGATCATAATACACACCACGCTGGTATTGTCATATGAAAAATAACCCCATTTTCCGAACATAATATATAATGCCTGCAACAAAAAACAAATATTCTAAAACCAGCCCAAAAACAACACACCCGCCCAATAAGAAAAAATCCCGCACACCAGAGGAAAAACCAGCCCAATTGGGCGGGAAAGCGGCCCAACTGGTAGTAGGTGGCCGAGCAATATACAATATACTGTATACAGATCACGTGGATGCTTGTACAATATACTGTATACAGATCACGTGGATGCTTGTACAATAACATGTACAATACTGTATACAGATCACATGGATGCTTGTACCAGCAGCGTTGCCGCCCACACTAGCTACCTGCCGGCTTGGACGCTACCTAGCCTCGTTCCCCACGCCGCCCAGCCGCGGCTTGGAGGAATGCTACCTACCCTCGTTCCCCAAACCAACGCTCGGATATGTAAGGCCTGCAGAGGATCCCTCAAATGAAAGGACATCCCCTCTGGTCTCTCCCCAGGGGTTTACACCTACCCACGCGTTTGCCGTGCGTGGCAGCCTTGTGCGCTGTGGAGACGGGAGTCCTGGAGTCTGAGCGATGCCGTGAATGAGTACGCCCTGCGGCTAGCAACACGCCTCTTTGGTCCTCTATTCCAGCAAGACAGGAGACCTGATCCCGGCCCGGTCACGGTCAATCGGCTGGTCTCCCACGGGAGGCTAGGGCCAAGCAGTCATGCCTCCATTGGCACTCACAATGGTCCGTGAGTGCCGCCACAATGGTTATTGGCTGCGTATATCCTCTCATCACCCCTGTGGCTGTCAGACACTGGCTCTGACACACAGCTTCCCCTTGTTGGACTCCGTGGTGGGTGGGGGCGTGAGAGGATGAAGCACTTACCAATATATGGAAAAATTAAATAAAAAACCCCCACTAGATAAAAATGTTGACGAACCACGCAATGCCCAGACCACGGTAGCCACCTTGGAGCCATAAATGGCTCCAGATGGCGGAATAGTCCATCAGAGTGAAAGAGATGGACTCTCGTGCTGGTCTCTCCAGACCAGCACCCAAGCCAGGGAAGCCTCTGAGTCCCCCTCAGGTGGCTTCCCTGACAGGGGCGCGAGCACAGGCTGGACCAGCCGAACCAGCAGCTGCTCCCCCCACGAACGAGCCCACCAGCCGACAGGGCTCACAGAAGCGACCAAGGCCGGAGACGGACTCTGACGGAGAGTCCGGACCCAGCCACAGTCGCTTGACCCATTTCAAGGTCCCAGCCAAACCAGAAGGCTTCGACAATGCCTACCAATTGGTGAGAGCATTGGAGAGGCACAGAAAACTCCGGCTCTCAATCCGAGTAGCCAAAGACCAAGGCATGATCATAGTGCCGAAAGATCGTGCCACCCTGAACTTCCTTCGGGAAATCAGGGAACTCGCAGATGGGAGAAAAGTGAGTCTTTCCCCATTGACCCCCGAGGATAAGAGAAGCAAGATGGTGTTACTTGGCTTCCCAGTCTCATATGATGTGGAGCTAATCACTTCACATCCTCAGGTAGTGGAGGCTTCCCAAATGACAGTAGGGAAGACTCCAACCAGGCAAGTCCTGGTTACACTTAAAGGTGCCCCAACCACTACCCTTGACTTGGGTAACTGGGGCACCTTTAAGCTTCGAACGTTTGTGCCTGAACCACTTCGGTGTTTCAAGTGCCAGAAATATGGACACCACCAGGCTAACTGTACAGCCAAGCCCAAATGTGGTGTCTGTAGTAAGGCCCATAACACCGAGGTGTGCCTGATGGCCCACAGAGAAAAGAAGGAGACAACAGCCAAGTGTCCCAACTGTGCCAAGAGGCATCACGCCTGGAGCCTGACTTGCTCTGTCAGGAAACAGGTGGCCCTCAAGCGCCAAGAGGTTGCTGAAAAGCGACCAGATTTCATTCCTGCCCCCCAAGGCACGTATGTGTGGGGCAGGAAGAAAAGTGAAAAGGCCCCCCAACCTCCTAAGAGGAAGGAAGCCGCCCCACAGCCGACACCGGAAGTCTCCAACACAACGGAGTTTCCGGAGATGCCGAAGCCCAAGAAGAAGCCAAAGAAGAAAGCTTCTAAGAAGGCATCAAAGCCCTCGTCAGGAGATGACGATCTCTTCGACGAGGCAGACATGACCCTCCTCGTGACTGCTGTGGTGACAGCAGTGGCGACAGCCTTGGGGAGGACACGGGAAGAGGCGGAGAAGGCAGTGACGGTCGCCATGACGGCAATGACCAAAACTGTCGCTATCCTGAAAGGCAGAAAGCAGGACCGAGCACAACCAGCTCCTGCAGTTCAGGATGAGACTCCCCTCCCAGCTCCAAGCCAGGCACAACAGGCCGAAACTGCAGAGGCAGAAGCCGAAGCCGAATGTGCTGAGCCCGCCACGGCGCGGCCAGCCAAAAGATCTGCAGATAGGTCTAAGCGAAAAGCCAAAGCTTCAAAAGTCAAAAGTACCCAAGGCTCTCCACCCCCCAGTGGACCCAAGGTTAACTTGACTTCAGATGAAGAGGACTTCGCGATGTTGGGTATGGCTTGTGACCGGGTCTCAGATGTAACTATTGATTAGTAACATCATGGCACACAATCTAAGCATTCTACAGTGGAACATACGTGGCTTTTCCGGAAGGAATGCCGTGCTCCAAGCAGTAGTGCGGTCAAGGAACATTGACGTTGTCATGCTCCAGGAGACATTAACGGTGGATAATGTTCGCTTCTCAGGGTATCACGTATTTATGCTACCTCAAACTGCTGGCAAAAGAGGACTGATCACCCTTGTGAAAGCAACAATCCCCTGCTCCGCAATAGCCGATGCACCGCACTGTGGAGAAGAGACAGAATCTCTCGCCGTAGAGATCCAACTGGCCGGGGGCCCCCTTAAACTGTACAACGTGTACAGCCGGCCAGGCTGTAGTAGCTTAGACATCAGCCAGGTCTGTGCGTCTGCTGTACAAGACCGAGTAGTCATAGGGGGAGACTTCAATGCACATCACCCCATCCTAGCTCCCTGCAGGGGACCGGATGCGGCAGGTTATCACATAGCCAACGTGCTTGAGACGTTCCCCGAGATCGCTCTCCTCAACAACCAAGAGCCAACGCATGTCGGCGGTGGGGTACTAGACCTCACCCTGGTCACTGCGACTCTGGTTGACAGGATTGGCTGGTGTGTGGATGAGACTGTCACAAGCGACCATTATGGCTTGGTAACCACACTCATGAACGCAGGCCCAATCGAAATCCCACGACCGAATCCAAGATGGAAGACAGAAAAGGCCAACTGGCATGCATTCCAGAACGCCTTAGCCCACTGTCTGAGAGGAAATGAATCCACACCAGCCGACAATGTGGATGTGCTGGAAGCCAGGCTGGTAGAAGCCATAAACCAGGCAGCCTCACTGACCATCCCCCAAACTCGGTTCGGGTCTAGGCGTCACAAGGACGCCTGGTACTATAACGACGAGATCAGGGAGGTCAACCACAGGGTGAACATGTGCCGAAGACTGTTCCGAAGGCAAAGAACCCCCGACAACCTCGCACTGCTGAGGGAGGCTGTCAGGGATGCCAAGGAAACTGCCAACAGAGTAAGGCAGGAAAAGTGGTTGGAATGGTGTGAATCCTTTGATCAGCATACCAGCCTCTCAGAGCTGTGGCAACGGGTCAGGCGAGCTACCAGCCGCTCAGCCCCGAGACGAACGCACCACGACCCCCAAGCAGAGGCAAACAGACTGGCGCTCGAGTTCTCTGACAGAACAAGCAGCAACAGTCTACCAGCCGAGCTGAGGGCCAAACAAGAAAGCCTGAAAGCAGACAGACTTGCTCAGATCAGAGAAAGGGCAGCCGAAGCCGATAACTCAGACGTTATCTTTTCTCTGAGGGAACTTCGAAAAGCATATAAATTCAGTTCCAACACAGCCCCGGGTTGCGATGGGATCACGTATCCCATCATCTCCCGCCTAGGACGAGAGGGTGAGCTTGCACTCCTGCAACTCATCAACAAATCCTGGGAATCCTCCTCTCTGCCGCAGAGCTGGAAGAGGGCTACCATAGTTCCCATCCCAAAACCCAAGGAACCGGGGAATTACCGCCCCATCTCCCTCCTCAGCTGTCTGGCCAAGACGGCCGAGAGGATGG